TTTTTTTTTTTTGAAGAAGGTGGCGACACTATTACTGTGACACATCAGACCGATATTGTGAAATTGATCAAATGGACACGGAGGACCGAGAGAGATCAAAGGATCGAAAATTTTTTTTTTCTCAAGTGATATTGGCTCATATGTATAGACTAATCAGTGTTTAAGAATCGATCAAGCGTTTCTTACTCGCAGAAACAAGGAAACTCAGTGTTTGAGCCACAAAATAGAGAAACAAAAAATCAAGCAGTGAAGCAGCGTTGGCCACGTGCCGTGCATCTAGATCGGGGAAGATGCCGGACATGGATAAAGGAAAGTCCCCCCCCCCCAAAAAAAAACTACACCGATAAAGGATAGAGAAAGCCAAATCAAAAAGGCCGCACCGGAATATATTACCAAAAACAATATTTCGCTGTATGCTCCCTCCCATGTAAGTACAGCGGAAGTAATAGTCCCTTTCAAAAAAGATTTTTTGAAGAAAACCAGGAACCAAAACCTGATGCAAATTGAAAAAAAAAACAATAAGTTCGCTCAAGTTAGGTGCAACCGAACTTAAACCAAGATCAATTGCAAAAACTAGGATTTGATGCCTTCATTCCAAGGCACAACCTAGAAAAAGTCGGTCTCCTGAAAGGCATTCCTATAAACGTAGACATGGCAGAGATAATAGATGACTTCAACTCGCCATGAAAAATCCTGAAAGCATACAGAATGAATAGAAGAGAAAACGCTGAAGAAGGAAATACTTGGAAATGGGTACCAAGTGAAACCATTCTGGTAACATTCGAAGGAACAATGCTACCAGAATATATCAAGATATTCGGCCTCTACAACATCAAGGTACAGGTATATGCCAATCCTGTCAAAACCTGCACAAACTGCTACAGGTCAGTTTTGGCCATACTGCCAAATTTTGTGAAAAATACCTCTGCGATATGTGTTAAATGAGAGAAAAGGCACAAATGGTCATACATGCGACATGGAAATAACAAAAGTTTGTCTGCACTGTAAAGGCAGCCACAAAACGTTCGACAAAAATTGCACGCATTACCAACACAACAAAAAAATTAATGAAATCATAGCGTACGAAAGCAAAAGTTTCTGAGAAGCGAAAACCCAGATAAAGCAAGAAACGCAAGCCAGCAAGAAACTAGCCCCGAAAGAGGAGATCTCCCCAGGGGTTTTAATTAACCTAACAAACTTCCCTCAACTAAAAAAGCTCTCAATGTCGGAGGAGTTCAAAATTAAACGCATTGGAGGGCATCCAAAAATGGATAACAACCCTACCCACTAATGGCCAGCATAAAAAATGGAACCAAAAAATAGCCCAAACAAAAAAAATGCCAATAACCTAAAAATAAAGTTAATCCAACCAAACCACACTAAACTCTTACTACAGAAAAATGCAACAAACAATGATAACACATAAACTAACAAAGAAAATGTCAGCAAAGAAAAACTCTCTCTCAAGGGTAAAATTCTCGTATAAGTTAGCAAGAATAAAATTCAAATTATAAACAGATCAAATCTCAATCTCACAAAACTAAACAATGTGAAGCAATACAAAGGTAAGAAGGAATTATCTAATATTATCATATAAATGGCTCTTAGAATACTGTTGTATCAAACAAGAGTACAGAACTGACTGGCCTCTGCCCAAACTATGACATAATAATTCTCACAGAAACTTCGTTAAACATCATAGAAAACTTAGTAAACTTAGCATCCCTAACTTTAACATAATAAGAAAAGACAAAAAATACAGAAATGGGTGATCTAGCCATCCTGGTCAAGATAGGACTCTGCTGGCGGACGATGGACAATCTTATCACTGACGACTAGTCTGCTGAAATTCTCGCAATTAAAGTCATCAATCTTCAGCAGCCCATAACCATAATTGCTTGCTATAGGCCTCAGACACATAATCTCAATCTGATCCAATGGAAAAAGTACGTTGAGTCTATCTCTGACGAAAGGAATTTCCTTCTCGTGAGGGACTTCAATGCGTTACACTGCAGAACTGTGACGCTACCAACCCTGCTGGCGAAAATCTCCACGGAATAATAAACAAATTTAATCTCATTATACATAATACAGAAACCCATTTCCACACAGGATATATCAAAAAAGAAACAACCTGGATCTCGTCATTACTAAGACAGACATTGCTCACCTTATCACGGCACAACAACTAGGGACACACTTGGCTCTGACCATTTTTCCATAGAGTGTTCTTTGAACACGGAAAAGTATATCTATCAGAAAAAGACTAACCGACTCTCCACTACTAAAACAAATTGGACTGATCTTTCAAAAAAGATATG